TCTGTTGTTGCTTGCTGATCTGTTGAATGCGAGTCATGTAATTCTGTCCACAACGTCTCCAGAAGAAGGTATCGTTTATCGTCTGCTCCTGTGGTGACACGGTTGCTATGTTTTTATTTCTCTCTCCACTTGTCAATAAAATCAGTTTATCCTCCAAGGGAAAACACGACTCGATTGACTGTGAGTCACCGGATTTCCTGCTTGGTGGTTAGGTCCGACCATCGATTATTCGAAATGGCAAAAATGGAGAATTTCCTTTCTTTTTTTTGAGAGAGAGTTTTGGGGTGATAATTGCTACATGGTATAGTGAAAAACGTCACGTTACAACACAATCATTCACCAGAGAGTCATATATTAAATCAATTGCTAATTCGTTCTCCACAATCTTGTACATTTATAAATTTACCATTAGTACATACATCGAGTATTTCTGCCACGTCTTGTCTGTTGCTTCTACAAAATCCCCAAAAGAATCTAAAACGTTATCGGTCCTGACCTGGCATCTCGGCTTCAGTCTATTTCCCACCTCCGGAACGTAGCTTCCCTGTGTCTTTTCTATAAATATATTTTTACGTTAATTGTTCTGATGGTCTTCACACTTTGGTACATTGATTTCACGAATTGAATCGCAGTACTGGATTGGCGGTTAGGTCAAACTGTGGCACCATTTACGAGGCAGAAAAGGAAAAGAAAGAAAAGAAGGCAGAAAGAAAGGCGAGACGAATCGTGGATGATAAGCAGACACACACACGGCTAAGAGACAATGAATATATTGATAAGTAATAAATGGCGAAAGGGTGTCATTACAATGACAGGGAAATTCTGAGTAAAAAGAAAGGGAAAGAACGAAAGAATCAGATGTGTTTTGATAACGGCTGTGTTATCTAGGGGTACGTAAACAAACGGCTGGTCGACTGGCCAAAGAAAAATTCAAGTGAAAATGTTATTTCGATAAGTGACGAAAAACAGGGACTTTGGGTAGATATGGAAAAATTAATCGCGACACACACGAAGTAACCACACTGACCGATTTTCTTGCCGCAGAACATCTTTATGCCTGCGATAATAAAATTAGGTTATCAAGAAATGTTTGCCAAAGAAAAGTCCAATTGAAAACGTTAATTTTGATAATTGACAAAACAGGTGTAACTAAAAGGGACTTTGGACAGATATGAAAAATTAAAAGCCACACAAGCCGTGTCCGCTGACCGATTTTCTTTCGACGAAACATCCTTGGCCTGCGATAATAAAATTATGTTATCAGAAATATGTACAGAAGGGGAATGAATGGGAATTTAGAAATGTCTTTTCGGGGCGACGTTGGCCGTGTTAAGAAGACCACCCATTCTGATATTTGGCGACAAAAATATCTGACGAAAACCACGTGTAGAACAAGAGTTATATTGTCCCGTTTGCTGCTAGGGAAATGATAACGGCGATTAAGAGGAAGAAAGGGAAAAGAAGGGATATTTTTTTTTTAGTTAAACAAGATATATATTTTTTTCTTCCTGAAACAAAGCCGCGGATTCGTCCACGCCCGACTAAGACTTCATTGGTCGAGTGGTGATCACGTGACGCACGAAGGAGGCTGTCGACGCCTCATCCAGAGTATAGGTATGAGAAGCTGCTACGAAGAAGTAGGGAGGGCAGTTCACGCCCTCTGAAGAATGGTGAGAAGGTGGGAGTGAGGAAAGGTTCCCAAAAATGGAAAAGAGTGGAAAATCCCTAACCAGAAATAAAAGAGGTGGATATGTATTTAGAATTATGGAGGAACCCCTGACGCCGACAGACCCACCCCGGTTTTGGTCGGCTTCCATAAAAGCGAAGCCCCTACGAGCAGAAATCAGTTCGGGCTCCAGCGGAGAGTTGAGTTCCAGCAGTTCCAGTGAGTTCAGCTGACCAAGATTCACGAAAATTCCGGACTCCTCTTCAACCCAAGAACAATTATTTTGAAGAGCGACTTAGATCCAGACCACCGAAATAAGTTTTTTTCGACTTTCGTCCAAGGACACACCGAAACACCAATTTCTTAGAGAGCAAACAACTTGAAGCGTTAAAACTTGCCTAACGGAAAACGGCGTGTCACAATCCACAGAACGGGTTGGGAGATAGATGCAGTCCTATGTATCGAACAACTAGACATAAAGTTTGTTACCTTTTTCTTTGAAACTTTGAACTTTTTGAGTTTTCATTTTCTTTTCTTTTATGCATATTTGTGTGGTATCACCCCCGTTGAACTCAGTTCATAGACAACACGACTGACGCGACAGGCGGACGTCACGTTTGGAGCAACGACACCCGAACGGAGCAGCGAGGAGCGAACAGCTGGCGCCGCGGCGAGGACGTCACAATTGGTGCTGTTTCGGGACGTCACAACGGGTGCCGTGGTAGATCAGGATAGAACGTCACAGTTGGCGCTGCGACCAGGGGACGACGTCACAACTGGTGCCGTGACCATAGGATGGGACCCTGGAACAGCCACTGCCACAATTAGTACCGTGACAGCAGGACAGGATCCTGGATCGACCGCTGTTGCTGAGAAATTTCGAATAGGACTCAAAACGACCCGGGACCGAGACGAACGAGAACAGAATCGTCTGTAAGGTAGGACACTTTGTTTGATTTCCCAGCCTCGATTGTTGCTGCGTAGATTGTCTTTCTCTTTATTATTTTTCGATTGTAAAAATTTTCTTCCTTTTTAAAAGAATAATAACGATTTAGTGATAATAATCTTACTAATTAATCCATAGCTGGAGGGAGAAGAAATGTATTCATGCCTAATCAGAATTTGATAAACAACAAATTATAGTGGATATAAAGCGGGTGATCAATTTCATATTACAATTGATATGTAAAATGATACCTAAATTTGTGGCCACACTAGTTTCTATATATTTATATTCCAGAGAATGGAAATAAATCGAAAAGACATGCCTGTGTAGATAATCCGTATTTTATTGATTGATTCGTTTTCTACGGCTTATCATGCCTTTGCAGATTATTTTAAACCAGATAATACTCGCAGATTGCAAGAACATTTTTGGAGATATTACTAGCTTAGTGATATTTTTCCTACTAATTAACCCATAGTTGGAGGTAAAGGCGTAGATTCAGACCTTTCCCATGGGGTACATGCACATAAATCAATAGAATGAAACTAACTGGAATTGTAAATAGACTCTCCTATTAGCAATTAACAAGCCATTGTCCGTAACACTCCTCAAGCATCAAAGGTTACAGCCCCTGGTATTCCAAAGTGGTCAACCATCTAGATAATGGCCAGTTTCGACGTTGCTTAACTTCAGTGATGGTATGGGAACCAGTGTTTCAACATGATGTGCAGGTAACACAGTGTTGATGGCGGACACAGAAAGGCGACAAGTAATACCATAGAAGGATAGCGAGAAGAGAGGATTAAACGTCATTGCATGTTTATAGCCCCAACATGTAAACAAGTTCCCGTCAGTAGATGTCGACGATTTTGCTGAGGAGACGTCGATTCGAATGTTTAAATAATCTAAGGTGATTTTTCAATAGTCAATTACTATTCCTCATTTTTGGTTTGAGACAGGGATCGGAAAACCCCGGTCCCCGGACTACATCTGGCCTGCGAACGATTTTTGTCCAGCCCGCCAACTTAACACTTGCAAACTAATTATCTAATTAATTGGTGAAGAAAATGGCAGAAAAATATCAAATGGAGTCAATCGACTTACAATGCGACGAATGTTTTTAAATCAATATTTATTTCTGAAACCACTGTTAACTTCACTGAAGTTATTACAACTGTTCTTATTAATAACTGCTTTGTTTCTTTCTTTACTGGTACGAGGGTGGGTTGAAAAAGTTCATAGGCTGACTATGAAGTGTTGATGCTAGAACTGTGAAATCTTGCATGTATTAATTTCAACTCTTCTTATTAATAACTGTATTGTTTCTTTCCAGGTACGAGGGTGGGATGAAAAGTTCATAGGCTGACTATGAAGATGCTAGAGTGATGCATGTATTAATTTCAACTCTTCTTATTGAAATCTTGCATACGAGGGTGGGATGAAAATTTAGGCTGACTATGAAGTGATGCTAGAGCTTGAAATAAATAACTTTAAATAACTTTTTTTTTCCAGGAAAACTGACATCTGAATGTTCAAAGAGTACTTCAAACGAAACTAGTAGCAACTTCTCTTGAAGATGGACAAGTGCTTACAGAAAAAGGGTTTAGTCCGCAAGGACATTCATACTGATATGGTTGCTACGTTAGGGGATAAAGCTCCGGTTTTATCAACAGTGAAAATGTTGGCAGGTGAATTTAGGAAGTGAAAGGAGAGTCTTTAAGGAGATCCAAAATCTGGACGTTCTGCAAGTGCCACCACCGAAGAAAACTTTGATCCTCTTTATCACATGGTGATAGATGACAGGCGATTGATTATGACTCAAACGACCAAATGCAAATAGCAGATCACATGAAAGAGTTTAGAAATGAACTTGGCATAGAGAAGATTTAGGGACGGTGGGTGACACGTCTGATCAAAAACAACGTCAGTTTGATCGCATCACCAAAAAATATGACATTGTTTGAGACAGATCAAGCTTTCTTTTCTTGAACGTTTCCTAATTTAGGTTGAGTTTAGGTTCATCACTTTGAGCCAGAGGCAATTCATATAGTGGAAATACCCATCCTCGCCTGTTCCAAAGAAGGCTTAGAATGTTTCATCATCAGAAAAACTGATGGCTTCAATTTCTTGGGATGCAAAAGGCATTATATTTATTGACTATCTTCAAAAGGGCCACACCATCATTGGAGAGTACTATTCCAACTTGCTACAACAGTTACAACAGAATATAATGACCAAGCGTTCAAGAAAACAGGGGATGTTGTTTCATCAGGACAATTCTTCAGTCCTTGGTTGTTGTGCGTGACTGTGTCTTTGAACTCGTTTATCACCCTCCTTAAGGATTGTTATGAAAGAAAGAAAGAATGAAAAAAAGAATAAAAAGAAAGATTATAACAGGATGTTTCTGAAAGAAAGAAAAGAAGAAAGAATGAATGAATGAAAGAAAGAAAGAAAGATTATAACAGGATTGTTCTGAAAGAAAAAAAGAATAAAAAGAAAGATTATAACAGGATGTTTCTGAAAGAAAGAAAGGAAGAAAGAATGAATGAATGAAAGAAAGAAAGAAAGAAAGATTATAACTGAAAGAAAGAAAGAAAAAGAAAGAAAGAAAGAATGAAAAAAAGAATAAAAAGAAAGATTATAACAGGATGTTTCTGAAAGAAAGAAAGGAAGAAAGAATGAATAAATGAAAGAAAGAAAGAAAGAAAGAAAGATTATAACAGGATTGTTCTGAAAGAAAGAAAGAAAGAAAGAAAGAAAGAAAGAAAGAAATAAAGAAAGAATGAAAAAAAGAATAAAAAGAAAGATTATAACAGGATGTTTCTGAAAGAAAGAAAGGAAGAAAGAATGAATGAATGAAAGAAAGAAAGAAAGAAAGATTATAACAGGATTGTTCTGAAAGAAAGAAAGAAAGAAAGAAAGAAAGAATGAAAAAAAGAATAAAAAGAAAGATTATAACAGGATGTTTCTGAAAGAAAGAAAGGAAGAAAGAATGAATAAATGAAAGAAAGAAAAAAAGAAAGAAAGATTATAACAGGATTGTTCTGAAAGAAAGAAAGAAAAGAAAGAAATAAATAAAGAAAGAATGAAAAAAAGAATAAAAAGAAAGATTATAACAGGATGTTTCTGAGGAAAGAAAGGAAGAAAGAATGAATAAATGAAAGAAAGAAAAAAAGAAAGAAAGATTATAACAGGATTGTTCTGAAAGAAAGAAAGAAAGAAAGAAAGAAAGAATGAAAAAAAGAATAAAAAGAAAGATTATAACAGGATGTTTCTGAAAGAAAGAAAGGAAGAAAGAATGAATAAATGAAAGAAAGAAAAAAGAAAGAAAGAAAGATTATAACAGGATTGTTCTGAAAGAAAGAAAGAAAGAATGAAAGAAAGAAAGAAAGAAAGAAAGATTATAACCGGATTGTTCTGAAAGAAAGAAAGAATGAAAGAAAGAATAAAAAGAAAGATTATAACAGGATGTTTCTGAAAGGAAGAAAGGAAGGAAGAAAGAAAGAAAGAAAGAAAGAAAGATTATAACAGGATTGTTCTGAAAGAAAGTAAGAAAGAAAGAAAGAATGAATAAAAGAAAGAAAGAAAGAATGAAAGAAAGAATAAAAAGAAAAAAAAGGAAAAAGAAAGTTATTCTGTGTAATCTGTTAAAATAAGATGTCAGTGTTATTTTTATTTTTGCTTCATTTAGACGACAATTTAACCACCGCAAAATCTGTGTATATATATATATATATATAAGAGAGAGAGAGAGAGAGAGAGAGAGAGAGAGAGAGAGAGAGAAAGAGAGAAATATAGTGTACCCTAAAAATGTACTTACTTTTTGACCTCGTCAGTTTTAACATTTATAAACATGCATTAATTTCATTTAATATTTAATTTCATCTGTTAATCGTCTTTGTAAGTAAGTAATTGTTGATATTTCTTAATTTTACTCATTAACATTTACACATTAATCATGTTTGATGGTAAATAAACATTGCATTTATTGTTATTTAAAAGCTGCGTTCATTTTATGGGATACCCTGTATAAAGATATCTTAAACTCAAAACTTCAGAAAGAAACACTTATTGGTTTTAGTATGATTGCCCCAAGACAATCATCAAGTAGGTTAAATTCAAGTAAATGCCTTCAAAAGCCAGTAATGTTCGCTGATATCGAACGTACGAGATGATAGATGAAGGTTCAGCTCACAAAGTCGATGCAATAAATAGCCCAATATATGATACACATTACAAATGGAGCAATATCTCGAACACTTTGTGAATTTCAGAAAGTTATTCTTTTTCTTTTTCATAGACTGAATCTGCGATACCGAGCGATGAAAAGTGTCTGCTTCTGAAAATAGAGAAACCTGGGAGAAGTCGTAATCGTATAAACACACGTGTCGTAAATAAGCTAGTTTGAAAGAAAGGCTTGCTAGAAATTACATTTAACGTCTGTACGGCGAGAAGATCAGCTGACTTCCAAACAATGGCGCCAGCGTTACAAAATGGCGTTCATCTTCACCTGTGTGCTGCTTCGAAATTCAATTACTGAAGAGAGAATGCGTCGAAAGAAATGGACGCGTCGACTGACGATTGGCTTTGTGTGTGGCTTCGAAAGATTTATTACTATATTTAGTATTTTTCACTCATCGGACAAAACTTTGGTCAATAAATATTCTGTTTTTTTTCCATAGGAGACAAACAAATGTACATTTCTTGCACTTACCTGTATCAAATAAACTTACTTTAGTGTATCACTGTGGAAGACGTAGAGAAATCATCTATGTGTCACATCCGTTCAGGACACAAGCAAACATGGTTCTCCACAACCTCCTCGTGTGGCTCTTAGCAGTCTTTCTCCCTATGCTAAATCCCACGACCTCAGTTCCACCATCCATTCGTCAGGTAAGTGGTGCGCAGCCTTCCTCTGTCTCATTTGTCCTCAACATGCCCTCGGGGTGTTAAGTTTTCCAAACTGCCTTCCTGTTTATGTGACCAAAGAATTTCAGTTGTATTTTCCTTGTTTTGTGCTTAAGCATTCTTTTTCATGCCATTTTCTTTAAGATTTCTTTGTTCATCCGTTCCGTCCATGGAATTTTTAATATCCTTTCTGCTATCTCTAGTTTTTTCCCGTCCTGGGTATGACGATAAACTACATCCACGTCCAGGGTAAGACGATAAACTACGTCTAACGGCAAGGCCTCTCATCAGGAGGCTTTGAGAAGCGTGGAACCACCTCTTAATTGCTGGTGTTCCCAGGTCCAGCCTGACCCGGGGTGGTAGCACCTATTAGGGTCCCAGCTATGGGCAAATAGTCAACCCCGAAACTGAAGTCAAAAGCATTATAAATGTGTAAAAATAGGTTTTAATACCAGAAATACTTTTTACAAAATTATTTCCAGAAATAAATTTTTGAAGAGAAAAAAATATTACCAGCTATGTGTTTTCGAAAAAATAATATTACCAGGTATATATTTTTGAAGAAAAAATATTACCAGCTATATATTTTTGGAAAAATAATATTAGCAGCTATACATTTTTGAGGAAAAAAATATTAACAGAAATAGATTTTTGAGAAAACAAAAATATTACCGGAAAAAAACGTTATCGGCATTAAATGAGGTTGATATCCCGTAAAACAAAACAAACCAAAGTAAACTCTAGTTTTTTCTTCATCCATGGGGAAATTTTCCAGCATCCACTGCCATATAAGTGGATGGATATCACATAACAATCATCCATTCACCTAGGCTCAGAATATTGCTGTCACTGATGGCCCAGTGCTCCAGCTACTTAGAGATTCTTGATAAAATCCAAAGGAGAATCAGCAATATTATTGATGCTGACCTGGCGCCTCGGTCCCAGTCACTTTCCCATCGAGCTAAAGTTCCTCCCCTGTGATTTTTCTATGAATATTTTCATGGTAATTATTCGGGTGAGGTCTTCGCTAAGGTATCTTGAATTTATGAATCTAAGCGCAGTACTAGATTGGCAGATAGGTCCCATCATTTTACATTTGAAATGGGTAGATGTAACCGTAAGTTCTATACTAGTAGTTTCTTTTCTCGCATTTCTCGCTTGTGGAAATCTCTTCCGGATCTATGCTTTCCGACCAACTTTGACCTTCAATCATTTCAATGCAATATCAATCGTTATCGTCTGTCTTTCTGATTATTCTTCTATTCTTCTCCCTCCTTAGTAATGTGTCTGTTTTCGAATTCTTTCACAGCGAGTTTGTGCCTTATTGGATTTTCTGCCTTGCTTCGGGTAAGTTCGTTTAAAATAATTGAAATGTTCTATTTTTTTTCAAAACTGATCAGTAAAGCCCGACAAATATGATAATAAAATGCAGTTGTGAAAGTGTTAGGTAGGTCTGTACACATCATCTGTTCGTAAGGAAATAAAACGTGGTTACAAACATTACAGTGTGTAATGAAGCCTTGATACTTGTTTAAAATATAATTGTTTGTTTATCCAGAGATTTCAAGGCATTGTTTTAGGTCACTTTCTGCTATGACAGACTATGTATCAGCTTTCTTTTCATTCAGCAAGCACTGTGATTTCCCGCCACCCCTCTGCCGAAATCTGCATTGGCGATACAGTATCATCTTCAATGGCAACTGCAACTGTTTATATAAGCCTGAAAAACGGATTTTGGCAATTCTGATTAAGTAACACTTGACCACAAAGGTTTTCACTTATTTATTATATTCCATTCAGGTCAAGTGGGTGACGGTTGAGAAAATCCCTTTTGTAGATTCCACACCTGGTCATAAATAACACAAAACATTTAAACTGAGGAAGGGCATAAAGCCACTAAAGCGCAAAAGATTATTGAATGGCAGAGGATATGAGAAACAAAAGGAAACTTTATTATGGAGAGAGAACAATAAAAGAACAGGAATTATAAAGACAGAATACTGGGTGTCCATAAAGTCTCCTTACAATGTAAAAATATTATTCGGGCACTTCGAGGTGGCGTAATGGTTAGCAAGCTTGTCTCGCTAGAACGATTATCATTGAGTAGTGAGTTCGATCCTCACTGGGTGCCCCTACTTTCGGCTTTGTGCCACGTCTAAGCCGCGCTTAGAAAATCGCTACAATGTACAACATTATCACAAAAGTAAAAGAAGAGACTAATAGGTGGAAATTGTTACAAAACGAGGAATAGATATTGAAGTTTTTTTTTTAACTAATTTAATCCACCTCTATATGGGCGCCATTAGTTGCATGAAGCAGATCAAGGCGGTACTTGATTTCTTGCCATGTTCGTTGTAGCATAGCCTCATCAATAGTGGCAATGGTATCAGTGATCTTTTGCTTTAGATCAATGATGTCCAGTAAATTTGTTTGATACACGATATCTTTTACATAACCCCATAGGAAGAAGTCCAGAGGAATGATATCTTGTGAACAATGTAGCAAGGGAATTGGACCATCTCTTTTAATCCCGCGGTCTGGAAATGTTAGGGCGTTCATTTAACAGCACCTCTTTCATCAATAGTATACTTGAAATAGACTAATTCAATGTGATTAAAAACTTTCATAAATACTGCGTACATAGAACAAATCTGATTAAGATATCTCCTCAGTTATGTAATATATTTTTAAATTGTAAAGAGACTTTATGGACAACCTGTATATATGTGTGTTCGTCTCTTTGTGTGGCACTTTCGTATATTTAAAAAATATTTTTGTGTGTTTCTTGTATGCGTACGAATGATGTTTTTTTTTCTGGACTTAATGTAAAAAAATTATGTTTATTCATTGCGAGTTCTTTCGGCTAAATTGTTAGTTATTTTTTTTTAGAAATTTTCTTTCGACTCAAATTTAAATATTTAAATATCTATCTATTTACCTATTTATATCTCTCTCTCTCTCTCTCTCTATATATATATATATATATATATATATATATATACGCACAAACACACAGACACACGAACACACAGAACACACAGACACACACACACACACACACACACACACACACACACACACACACACACACACACACACACACACACACACACACACACATATATATATATATATATATATATATATATATATATAGGGTCTCCATAAAGTTAATTTAAAAATTATCACAAAAGCAAAAGAAGAGACTAATAGGTGGAAATTGTTACAAAACGAGGAATAGATATTGAAGTTTTTTTTAACTAATTTAATTCACCTCTATATGGGCGCCATTAGTTGCATGAAGACCATCAAGAACGTACTTGATTTCTTGCCATGTTTGCTGTTCCATAGCCTCATCCATGGTGGCAATGGCATCAGTGATCTTTTGCTGTCGATCAGTGATGTCTCGTATCTTTGATCGATACACGATATACACGACATCTTTAAATAAACCAATATAAAAAAAATCCAGGTGAGTGATATCTGGTGAACGAGGTAGCCAGAGAATTGGTCCACCGGTCTGGAATCTGGAATTTGATTTAAGAACCCACGAACATGCAGTCCTCAATGTGGGGCTACACCATCTTGCTGGAAAATGATGGTTGGTTAAAAGTCATCTAGTTGTGGTGCCACAGGAATTGTTTTTGTAATATATTCTTTAAATTGTAAAGTGGCTTTATGGTTACCATATCTTTCTATTGTCATTGCATTTAAATTTTTGAAGATGAAACATGACTGGAAAGCAAGAAGCCAGAAGCGTGTTCCACAAGAGAGAAGTGCAAGAGAAGAGATCGTTAGCATAGAAATTATGGTTACATCTAATTACATTTTAAATTGATGAGACCTTGTGGCCAATCTAGTACTGCGCTTAAGCGAATGAAACCACACTGACAAGTAGTATACCCAAATTCATAATGAATTTGTTTTTTTACAAACATATTCACCCAGTTCAAGGCCCAAGATCTTCTCTAGGTAGAATATTTCAGAATAAGGGTCATAGTTTATGGAGACATGTGGGGGAAGACTTTAACTGGTTAAGATTATAGTGAAAAATATTTATAGACAAAGCTCGAGTATACTACGTTACGGCGATAGAAAATTGACTGAAGCCGAGATGCCAGGTCAGGATCAATATTATTGCATATTCTGTTTTGGATTTTAAGAATTTCTAGATACATAACGGAAGCATCAGACCAGATGGTGCAGTAATATTCAAGGCATGGACAATTGGTAGAATTATAAATATATAAGACTTTGTTGAGAAAATTGTCAAACACGACACGAATAACCAGACTTCCTAGTTGCAGACATAGCAATACTATGCATGGGTTTTCTAATAAGAGATTGTAGCAGCATACATTTGTCTGTAATTTGGCGAGGAAAATTTAAGAAATATTCCATGAAATTTGCAGACTTCTCCATATGTTTATATCTAGGTTTCTGAGCTGCTCGACATTCACCTATTTGAGTTACTTAAACAAATTATAGGACTAACTTTACAAATATCACACTATGTTGTTTAGTTTGATTTGGATTTATAGGTTAGCCCAGAAACAACAGAATACTTGAAGTGAGTGTGAAAAAATTCTCAGTTCGACTAACAAACCATTTAAAGAAAAAGTTCTCATGTTCTGACACAAAGCCAATGACTTTCCTTTACCCCGTATATAGACGTATCCATCTACCATCTATCATGTAGTCTCATAACCTAAGCATGGCTGATAAGGATATTCGAATAACCTATATTTACTAATTCAAACTAAAATCTAATTCTGAACGCAAATATATCTTCATTTGTGTAACTATATCTTATAGCTTGGCAGAATAGGGATGAGGAAAGACAGAAAAATAATTTCGCTCTATATTTCTGAGATGATGTATTGTAATTATTTACATCATTGTCCGGACTGTTGTCCTCATCTTTGGTGTGAAATTACTAATTACTATTTAATTAAATTTAACTGCCAGGTAGAGCAAAAAACAAAAAAACAAAACATAACCTGACTAGCCCTAACTGAACACGTAAGCAACGTAGAGGTTCAGGGTAAAAGGTAAAAAATAAAAAAAAAGACCCTGATACTTATCTTTTGCTTTAGATCAGTGATGTCTCGTATCTTTGTTCGATACACGATATACACGACATCTTTAACCTAACCCAAAATAAAAAAAAGTCCAGATGAGTGATATCTGGTGAACGACGTAGCCAGAAAAGCTTGATGAAATCTCTACGGCGCATTAGGAGGAAAAAAGGGCTTAGAAAATTTCGCACTCACAGGACGTACTGAATGCAAGACGCATGAAAAGAGCATACATCTATGCAACTACATAAATCTCACCTTATTTTGGTTAACTGCATCAGGATGTATAAGTTAGCCCAGAAACCACATCATTTTAAAGGGGGTGTTGATAAATTCTTAGTTCGACTAACAAGACATTTAAAGAACGAATTCTAATGTTATCATACTAAGCCAATGACTTTCCTTTACTCGTGTACAGACGTATCCATCTACCATTTATCAGGTAGCCTCATAACCTGAGTAAGGTTTATAAGGGAATTCGAATAACCATTTGTTAATTAATGCAAATTAAAATTAATACGGAAGGTGCACTCTAAATTCCACCTTCACTTTCGCGTGTCGGCGGAGGCGTCTTCTGTCGGCCCCGGGAGCGTACTGACCCTTTCTGCCGGGGACGGAGGAAACGAAAACGCGATCCGTTACACGTGGCGAACGTAAATATATCTTCATTTTTATCAAATTTATTTATTTATATTTTGTTTAAGTTCAGAAACAGATGCATGTATATTTTCCAGATTTCCATTGACTTGTATGACTTGTATGACTTCTCAGCCTATAAAGGTCTTTTTGTTGGGAAGAGGCCTACCCCAGATTCATGGCGAGGTATGGGCCATTACTCCCCCGCTTCTGCTTGTTTTTCTCAGCCTATAAAAGTCTTATAGTTGGGAATAGGCCTACGCCAAATATCGGGTGTTGACTTGTATACATGCTTATGCCTTTTTTACTAATATCATATTAAATAGAAAAATATTAGTAATGTATATTTAATATTATTTGTCGTTTCTATTATATAAGTTGGATGTGTTTATAATCATGTGAATCATAGGTGGTTTATACAGTTTAGATAAATACATTGGATATATTGAAAGTTATATATTAACTTTTTTATGTATTTTTTCATATATGTGTATATTTAAGTCTCTCTCTCTCTCTCTCTCTCTCTCTCTATATATATATATATATATATATGAATAACATTCTACAAATCGACAGAATAAAATAGTTCAACCAAATATAGTAAAAAGATCCAATCCCCCCCATGAAGCAATTAAGTAAAATACGGTCAAAAGGTCGTCACCACAATACAACGACAAACACCAAGCCCATACTACTTAAGTAAAAACAACAACCATTATGTGAAACACCACACACCTATAAAAAGATATCAAATTACAGTAAACTACTTATAAATACAGCAAAATTGAAAAATAGCAGCAGAAAAGACAACTAGCCCTGAAGAGTGTACATGTTATCTTGATGTGCGCAGTAAACTACGTAGTAGACGTGACTGAATCAACCCCACTCAGCTAAGTGATGAACTCCTCCAAAATACACACACACACACATACATATATATGTGTTGTGTATTTGGACAGATATGCCTCCTTTATACAAGTTTCGTTAAAAAAGACTAAGATGATGTGATTATTTTTTTTAATATGATTTTTCAGGTTTTCTTACAATTTTTCTTCGTTTCTGAACATAAATTTTATAAAAAAAATTGTCCGTATGTTTTATACATCCAAGGATTTTCTGGTATACTTTTACCCATTATCAGCGATGAATTTTCTTTTACATATAACTGAATATATAGTTAGTTTTATGCATATATCTAGAGGTATAGGTATGTTTTATTTTCTATACACGGTCAGCACATTTTGGCTGTGTTCATAATTGATATTATTATATATAATTTATGTCCTGAAAAGAAAATGATTATAGGAACACAGGTAAAATTATATAAAACTTACGCACCACGTCAATCGTTTTAACGAAGCTTGCATATATATATATATATATATATATATATATATATATATATATATATATATTTATATACATGTAAATAATTTTAATAGATGTGTTTGAATGTTTATCTAATTGTGCACACACACACGCACACACACACACACACACACACACACACATACATATATATATATATATATATTACATGAATCATTCATACAAAAAACAGATATAGAAGTTAATGATTTAAATGGCGAGAATACATCTTTGCAAACAATATAATCCGAAAAATGTTTTTAGAAATGTGTTATTGTTAATTGTAAGAATTTTATATATATATATATATACACAATATAATTGTCCGTTTTTATTATTTTTAGAATGTCTTTTCGATATGTATATTTGTATTTGAATTATAATTATATATTTAGAGTTGGAGATATGTAAGTGTGTTTAAATGTATTTTGTATATAGTCTTATTTAGACTATTTTATCTTTATTTATTTTAACTCACCATACCCCATAAATAAAAAAGGGTTCCTCTACTATCATTATAGTCCGGTATGCAAATTTTTCAACGTTCATTTTACAATTAGCACCTGACGATTGCGTTGTGAATGTTAATTAGAGATGTGATACAGGTGAGTAAATATATATATATATATATATATATATATATATATATATATATATATCTTAATTATTTTTTAAAATATGATTCCATCACTACATAAAAAATAATTATAATTTAGGATCAACTTATGTACTGAGCACTGTTTTTTAAAAATAAAAACAAAAGTACTAAAGAACTTCGGATTATTTACTTAACCTATTTACCTATAAAAATTTCGCTGACGATCCGCGTAGGTGAAACCTTGGTAGGTTTGTCTGGCTCTCTAGGTTTAACTAGGTCTGCTCTACTTACCGAATTGAGCACTTTATTTAGTTACTCGTATGAGAGTCAAGCAGCTCAGTTCCTAGGAATCGACAGCCATACACCAAAACATGATTTGATTCTAGTGAAGATTTTGGTTCGAACCATCCACACCTTTTCCGAATACACTATATATATATATATATATATATTCATTATCTGTTTCTTTTAAATAGGCATTATATCTATAAAATTCCTATTGTATTTCATAAGACGACTCTTATTGAATGCTTGAGATCTCGTACATCTAGAAACCTATTTTTTTTTAATGTTCGTTTAGATGTGTGTTAAAATGTGCACAGAATTCCTAATGACACTACAGGTATTCAGGCGACGAAGTTTTTCTATTCAGAACATGAAACCAACCTAACCGAGGTGAAATCTAATGTATTGTTTCTATGCACGTGACCGTTTGCAATCATTCGTAACTTTCTTTTCTGTTCTTGACTAGCCATTGCAGTGTAAATTGCGACTGGTGACGTGGCAACGCTGATGACAGTATATTTCGACGAAAACACTTAAAGATAAGCATTATAATTTTATACAGAACTATTCTTCATTTATGGGAAAAAATACCAGATGACTTCTTTATCATGTGGAGATTAAATTTAAGATAAATTTTGTGACTCTCGTTATAATCTAACGTATTAGCCTCCATTATACACCTGACGTGTATCAATTAGGAACTTAACTTTTGGCTACATCATTACTTGAATAGATTAAGGGACCATATGAAGAGGTGCCAAGTTTTTAATAATATCATTTTTTCTTCTTCTTTGTACCGTCTCACTTTAGGACGTGAGCGATGATAGGTTCATGGCTCTCCACAATTTCCTCTCTTCTATTGTTCTTATTAAATTAAGACCCAGTGGATAAAAGCGTTGATTGAAGTAATCCAGCGACTTGAGCCAAAGAGTTGTGAGTTCAATACCTGGCCACAGCGGAGGTAAACAAAAGCTTAGAGATTTGAGTTACTAAGAGAAATAACAGAAACTGAGATATCCGTTAAAGGCATGGAACGTGGAACTAGAACATTGTAACACGGTGGATGCAATAAAGGACTCGTTTCGAAATTCCTATCATTGGAGCGTTGTGAATTTGACAACAAAGACGAGGACAGTAGGTCGAGCAATGATTTTAGCAGCCATAAATATGTAAAACATGTCTAGCAGGATACAGCGAACAAACATTCTTAGCAGCTGAACTAGGAATGGATTCAATATTGTCTTTCTATTTCCAATCAGCCGAGAATGTTAGCCTGAAAGGCGAAACGAGTCCTTAACCTGGATGTTGGCAGTAGCCATGTTGATGAAAGGCAGAACGGAGTCTTTCGGATGATTAACAGAGAGTAGCTTCTTTTTGAAGACGTTAAAATTAAGAAGCCATTCCTTGCCTCAGTAAACAGCAGATTGAAGGTCATTTTTATTCGTTTCATTTAGCTGCTTAAATTTACAGCAACGATAGTCAACATTTATATAATGCTTTGTTTTCAAGACACGTTTCCTACATCAAACTCTCACCTTGCTGAGCTTGTTCTTCCAAACTAGCTATCTTATTCCCCCAGTTGTCACAGAGCAAGTATTTATAGAAAAGGCACAGGAAAGCAATTTTTTGGTTACGGGAAAATGAGTGAAACCAAGACACAAGATCAGGACAAATATTATTGTTGATTGATCTTTGGATTTTATCAAGGATCTCTAAATATTTAGCAGGAGCAACGGACCATATCTGGCAGCAATATTCTAATCATAGACGAATGGCAGACTTATAGATATTTAAAAGATGCCTAGCAATATACAGTGAACAATCATTCTTAGAAGATGCCTAGCAAGGGATTCAATATTGTCTTTCCATTTGATGTCAGCTGAGCACGTTAGCCTGAAAACAAAAAGAGTCATTCACCTGGATGTTGGCATTAGCTCTGCTGATGAAAGGCAGAACGGCGTTTTTCAAATGATTAACAGAGGGCAGTTGGGTTGGCTTCGTCAGAATGTTTCACCGTTCTATTTTGAAATATTTTAAGAATCCTTATCTCGCGTTGAATCTGAAGTACTTAGGGTATTGGTGGAGCTTAAAAATAGGTTAATGTATTTCTCGTCTTCATGTAAATACTGAGTGCTACAAGTTCTGAGTGCTCTTATATATATATATATATATATATATATATATATATATATATATATATATATATATATATATATTAATATTTATATTTCGCTCTTTATTTTTATATATATATATATATATATATATATATATATATATATAATTATTTATTTAAAATATGATTCCAACTCGCTACCTAACCAGTTCTTTCCTATTTTCTATTTATTTTTCAAAAATATATATATATATATATATATATATATATATATATATGCATACATACACACATACATACAGATATACACGCTTCCTATGTTGTGCATGGTTCGTGTGTGTACTTGTGAGCAGTCTTGTTTTTGCCACTAATATATATATATATATATATATATATATATATATATATCAGTATGCATATTCCTCTCCATACATACATACGGTTTGATTATAAGGAATTATTATACAGACTTTATATATTCCTGTATATTCCTTTAGACTAAGTACGAAATCCAAAGAAACGTAACGTCGAACAAACTCTAGCATATATTTCAACATACAACAAGAACAATCTAGAACTATTTACAGAAATTACAAAAGAAAATTAAGACGTACTTAGCAAGAATGACGAACTGAAAAATATACTAAAACAAACAAAAATAATTAA